ATTTGCAAGAACTAAAATCCTCACAACTGTGCCAATAGAGAGCGTCGTGATAAACGGAGAGAAGACTGACGTTGTCCAGGGTCTCATCTTGTACGGACCCATAAACAAAGGTCACGGCGGCAGCAGCCAAAATGTCAAAGGACATATTATCTGTGGCAAATCTGTTGCACAAAGCCTCTCGAAACTCATATGCATTTGGAATTTGGTAATTAAATAAGAAATATCATATCATCGTAAATGAGGGGAGCATGTGATGGGAACCCAATGCCCATCTGTAGACAACTGGACACCCCTTGCAGAGGAGTAGTGGGAAGGAGATGAGTCACTCAGGGTTCAGGGTGGCAATAATGAAACTCACAACCTTCCTCTAGTTGTTAAACGCTTCCTCCCCCCAACTATCATGATCCCAATTCTACCTTGCAAACCTGGTTAGACCAGAGGATGCACAGCAGTACAGATGGGAACTGGAAACACAGGGAATCTAGGACAGATGCACTCCTCAGGACCAGTGGTGAGAGTGGCGATACCGGGAGGGAAGAGGGTGGGGGGTAGAAAGGAAGAATCGATCACAAGGCTCTACATATAACATCATCCCTGGGGGATGGGCAACAGAAAAGTGGGTGAAGGGAGACGATGGGCAGTGTAAGATAAGATAAAATAATAATTTATAAATTATCAAGGGTTCATGAGGGAGGGGGGAGCAGGGAGGGAGAGGGAGCGGAAAAAGGGTAATGAGGAGCTGATTCCAGGAACCCAAGCATAAAGTGAGTTTTGAGAATGATGAGGGCAATGAATGTGCAAGTGTGCTTTACACAATTGATGTATGTGTGGATTGTGATAAAAGTTGTATGAGCCGCAATAAAATGATTAAAAAAATATATCAAGGAATACATTTGAATTACGGTGGTGGTGAAGAAAATTGAAAGCACATGCACTATCATAAGCCAAACAAATCTGCCATGGAGAAAATATAGACAGAATGCTCCTTAGAAGGGAGTTGGTGGGACTTCATGTCCTGCTCTTTGGAATTATTGTGAGGGGAGATCAGTTTCAGAAAAAGACATCACGCGTGATAACGTAGAAGATCCATGTGGAAGAGAGTGGCACTGGTCAATACTGACTGGCACAGTGGCTGCAGCAGTGGGTTTAAACAACAGCAATCGCGATGCTGGAACGGGAACAGGCATGGTTGTACAGGTTGGTTCTGTTACACACAGTTCCTCGGATTCAGTCAGGAACGCTAGTCCTGAGTGGAGTCAGAGTAGAGTTCCATGTTAAAGAAGACTAACTTTGGCCCTTTCCTGCAAATATGCAGGGAAAAGATTCCACTCTATTCCTCTAGAGACAGTGGAACCTGTAGTGTTGTTCATCCCAAGACAGTAACACATACTGTGGCTGCAACAATGTGCTTGACCAACAGAACCATTGCGAGGCTGGTGCAAGACCGGGCGGTACTCCGTCTGTAGTCCATTGGGACGCTGAGTCAGAACCGACACAGGGCACCTAACAACCACACAGAAATTTAAAGTGAGATTGGCAAAATTTTGCTAGAAGTTAGGCAGATTAATTTTATTTGGTTGACCTAAAAGTTAATCAAATGGACTTAAAGTTTCTGTGTGTGTGTGAGTGATTTGAAATGAACTTGCCACTGAAGATTTCAAGTCCATTCAATTTTACTTTTACATTTTTTTAACCCACTCAGACCAGTGTTTAGGTTTGAGGGAGAAGAAATCTGGAGAACATTTTTAAGTTTGTTTTTAAATAGTTATACTATATATATTTACCCAGCCCATCTCAAGAAATGAAATCAACAGTATCCTGGTAAACCTTTTATACATGTGGTTCCTTCTCTCCCCAAACCCATTCCTACTCTTTCTCCCATGCATAACCTATCCCTCCTCTCTCCCTTTTCCTGCCCCATCCCTGGCCTCTACTTTGTCATCCAAGGCTTGTTTATCAGTGTATAAACCATGCTATTTTTTCTTTGTTATTCCTTATAACAATGGTATTAAACACATATCTTTGTAAGATTGACTGAGCTTGCTAAGCATCAAGTTCGTTAGCTTTGCCCTATTCTTGCAATGCTTGAGTTGTCTCTGTTTTTTATTGCTGCCTAATATTCCACATTATGAATGCACCAGACCTTGTTTATTCATTCCTCTATAGTTGGGGGTTGAGGTTGTTTCCTGGTCTTTTGCTAATATGGAAATTTCTGCAATAAACACAGGTGAGCATTTATCTGTTCGTGTTGTAGTCTTGATTTCTTAGTGAAGGGGCCCCTGCTGCCCCTTCCCCCAGCCTTTAGCACAGAGAGGGACGGATGCCCCTCCTCCAGCTGTGTTTTTTTATAGTAGATTTTTAACAAAAATGGGGAGAAATAATGCATTTCTGTGGATACAGCCCCCATCACCCACCTGAACTTGGAAATGACATTGCCCCTCACCGGTCTGTCCCCCTCTCCCTCGCCCTCCCCGCCTCCCCCTGGCACATCTAGCCCTGCCTGAAGGCAAGAGGGAGGGAGGGAGACATGGGCCCTGCTGGACCCTGAAGCCTCCTGGGTCTCTACAGGTGCTAGAGATTACTGGATCATAAGATACCTGTATTTGCTTTCATTTGAGGAAGTGTCAAACAGATTTCCATAATAGTTTCAGTATTCTATAGTCAACACATTGATTTGCACACGTAGTCTTCAGTACGATGGGGTAATACATTTCTGTTATTTATTTATTAAATACTTTTATTGGGGGCTTTTACATCTCTCATCACAATCCATGTATTCATCCAGCATGTCAAGCACATTTGCACATATGCTGCCATCATCATTTTCAAAGCATTCTCTTCCCACTTGAGCTCCTGATATCAGCTCCCTATTTCTTCCCCCTTCTTCCCCTGCCTTCAATCCCTCATGAACCCTTGATAAGTTATAGATTATCATTTTCATATCTTGCATTATCCTCCATTGCCCCTCACCCACTTTCCTGTTGTTGTTCATGCCCCTGGGAGGGGTTTATAGTTGATCCTTGTGATCTATTCCCCCTTTATCCCCACCCCCCACGCCCCTAATCCTCCTGGATTCTCTACTGTCTATACCCATCTACCTTTGATATTTTGTTATAACAGTATTAGGCAACTATGCCATATATCTTATTTTTTTCTCAAACAACCATTTTTGCTTCATGTTTAAAGAAAATAATGTAAAGGATAATCTCAGGCTTCATGTAGAGAAAATAATGACATAGAAATGAACCAGTAGAGAACTCTAGCACATGGCAGCCAGCTGATGGCAAGCCAGCTGAGCCCGACTACAGAGAGCAATAGAAGATACCCAGGCCCTTCTCCCCAAACAAAATGGAACAAGTTTTTGACACCGAAGGTTCCTAGTGGAAGAAAAGGAGCCCAGCCTTGAGGACATTTGTCAGATGGATATGGTGGAGGACAGGTCACAAAATGAGTACGAAAGCAAACTCACGTTGACTCAGAGTAATCCTATCAGGTTTCTACACTAAAGTTTTACAGAAGCCAACAGGTTCATCTTTCTCTCCCTGATGGACAGCTGGGTGGACTGTTGACCATCTGGTTAACAGCCCAAGGCTTATCCAGGATGTTTCCAGAGCTGCGGCTTCTTTTTTTTTATGGGTTTTATTGACATATAGTTCACATATCACGTACGTCAATAGTTAGGTCTTATCATAAAGAGTTGCACAATCATCTTTACAATCAGTTCTAGAACACTTTCCTCCTTCCTGCACCCACTGTGGTCAGCTCCACATTTCTCTCTAGCCTCCCCTTCCACACTGCTGATAAGCCATTACTGCACTTCCTATCTCTATAGATCACCCACGGTAAGGCAGAGGAGGCCAAAGAGGAACAGAGTGAATACTTGCAAACAGTGGAGATTGAAAGATGGGAGAAGAAAGCATGATGTTAAAAAGTAAACACAAGGTAAATATACAAACTGAAAGAAAGGAATGTTGAGAATTTGATCTTTTTCTTCCAGATGTGATATTGGAACAGAATTTAAATCATCTGAGTTTCAAGTGACTTTCCCTCTGTCCCAGGCAGGGAGGCCGAAGCACTTGTCCCTGAACCCTGGTCCTGGTGTCACTCACTCACTCCCTGCCCCTCCTCCTTCGGACATCCTCCTCTTCCTCCTTCTGACCTCCTCTGCTCAGCAGTGCTCAGATTCCTGGAAGGTCTCTTTATCTTCCTTGCCTCTCTGGGTTGTGGGAAATCGAGCACGTGTGTGAGGCTGCAGAAAGGACACAGCCACCTTCGTCTTGGGCAGGTTGCAGGTCTGTAGCGGGAAGAGGCTTTATCTCTGACCATGCCCAGTGTGTACCAGGAATAAGCTCTTCTGACGCCAAGATTGCCTTTTGTCAGTGGCTTCGGTTTCCTCTCTAGGACCTCTGACCTTGTCTCTTTGAGCCTCCCCTGATCATGTGCCAGTTCGCCTCACTCAGGTCCTGCTATAAAATCCTAGTCACCCGTGGCCTGACAGCCATCACAGACCCAGTCTACCTGGTAAGTGGCTGCTGTTTGGGCTCTTCCCTTTGCAGCTTGAGTGGGAAGTAAAAGGTGGCTGACTTTGTCTGAGACTATAGCAGTGATGAAGCCCAGGATTGATGAAACTATAGGGACAGCAAGTAGCATAAGTGGTTTGGGGAGAGGTGGGTACATTGGTCGTGGTGGGGTAAGAGGAAGACAATGTCAAGAAGTTCATGTAGACAAAGAATGGTTGGGAATGGATGCTGGTAGCAATTGTACCATTCTACCTCACGTGATTGAAATATGGAATGATATATATGTATTAAATCCATATTAATTAAAAGAAACAAACAAAAAAACCCAAATTCTCAAGAATATTAGTTGAGGGTATGTGCTCAGAAAGAGGGGACAATAATAAATGTAGTAAAAGGTCTAGGCTCAACTTCTCTGAACCTACTTGTGCGTCTTTGCTACAGACGTTTGCTCCTTCGGCAAGAGATTGACCACCAGTCAGCATGATGTGCACCCACTCCCACTGGATTCTATGTTCATTCCTGATGGTCCTGTCTCTGAGTCATGGTACACTCTTCCCACCTCATCTTCAGCCCTCTGGTCCTTCACCCTTTCTATGTGCATATTGGTTCCTCTAAGAAAAGACCATTTTAATTTCTGAGGTTTGCATGGCGATGGTTATTGATGCTCCAATTCCATTAAAATATATCCTAATCAAAGACTTTGAGAGGGTACTTAAAATTATCATCTACTTTTAACCATTCACTGACATCAAGTCAATTCTGACTCACAGCAACCTTACAGGGCAGGGTAGAATTGCTACAGTAATGGATTTAGACTGTAAATCTTTACAGGATTAGAAAGTCTTCTTTTCCCCCAAGTTAGCAGCTGGTAGGTTCAAACTGCTGACATTTAGGTTAGCAGCTCAATTCTTAACCCACTATATTGTCAAGGCTCCTCAGGTTGGTCACATAGATTCATTCATTTGGTTAAATCTAGATTAGGTTTTAGGATTGGGGAGCAAAGTGCATGGAAGGTAAGGGATGTAATGTAATGAGATGAAGAACCCAGGGAGCCTGTGTATAGGCGAGCCAGAAGAGTGAGAAAGGCAGAGTGAGATCATTAAATAATGAAGCTAGAAAACTAAAGAGGGAAATGGAATACATTTCATACCTATTTTATATGGAGCAATTATTTAATAAAAACAACGAAGATATGGAGGCTGTGGAAAGGTGAAATGAGCGATCACTCAATTCTGAATCTGCATATTCCCACAGTAAAATCTTATAGGCTGCTCACTAACCATGGGGAGCTTCTTGGTCAATGCTTCCATTATTTCCCTCCTTTTCCAGGCTTGGAGGACCAGACAGAGCAGCCCTCTGGCCGGATCAGCTGCCCAGAAGGCACCAATGCCTATGACTACTACTGCTACTACTTTATCCAAGACCTTGAGACCTGGGCTGATGCCGATGTATGAGAAAAACAATCTCTGAACAATCTCTGGGTGGTCTATGAGAATGAATCCGCTGCCTGTGAATCAATTCTGCATCTTAACGATCTTACAGGGCAGAGTAGAATGGCTGCCTGAGATTGGATTGATTGCATAGACATCTTATTGCCAAGAGAGGTCACAATAGGCACAGACCTTCCCATCTTCTTATCTTGTTCATTATGCACCGTCCCACCCAGAAGTATTTATCACTGACAATGCCATCAGGAAGCTATCATGAGTTGACATGATTTGCTATTTCCACCCCACTCCCATAACCCTCACGGCCCAACACATGGATGGTCCTACAATATCTTTCTGCTTCTTCTTTTTCCTGGACAGCTCTACTGCCAGAACATGCACTCCGGTCACCTAGTGTCGGTGCTTAGTCAGGCCGAGAGCAACTTCGTGGCAGCCCTAATCAAGGAGAGCAGCACCGATGACCTCAACGTCTGGGCTGGCCTCTATGACCCCAGAATGGTGAGTCTGCTCCCTTCCCTTTCCTGGTGCTCAGGACTGGGGGATAAGAAAGAAATACCAGAGGAGGCATCCCATGACCCAGCGTTTATTATTATACCCTGTAAAAAGTACTACCCCCTGAGGTCTCAAAATGTACTAAGTCTAGGTATTCACTTCAGACATTAGAGAGATTATATGTAAGCTGTATTTCCTGGGAGTTCTTGGCATTTATGATATCATTCTGTCTCCTATTAGGAAACTATTTTTATATGCCTATTATTTCTGAATCTTGTAATACTCTGTGATGTAAAGGTTTCCTCTATGAACTATATAAGAAAGGGGACAAGTAGAGGCACATCTACTGCTCATATTTGTGAACCTCATTATTATACAAATTAATGTATTCATAACTAATGAATAATCAGTGTGTCTTCAATTGTGATAGTATGGATACCTGGAAAGAAACATCTGAATTTCTACAATATGCTGTTCTAGGGCTTGTATCATGTTCAGCCCTGTTAGCGTTTGGTGGAACACTAAAAAGATTGGGACATTAATGGGAACATGAGAGGCAGAATACAGGCAAGGAAGGCAATTATGTTCGTGGGTCAGCAACGTTTTTTCCTTTGAATGTTTGACCTGTTGTTGGATGTGCACATGATATAACTGTTTCTCGCTGAGTGACCTCGAATCGCTTTGCACTTTTTTCTTCTAGAACCGCCGCTGGCGCTGGAGCAGTGGGGCCCTGGTCTCATACAAATCATGGGCCAGTGGATCTCCGAGCACTGACAACCCTGGCTACTGTATGAGCCTTACTTCAAAGTCAGGTAAAAGGCAGCAAACCCACCCCCAGCTACTTACTGCCATCTACACCTGCTCTAGGTCTGGGGGCTGAGGATGGGGAGAGGCCAGTTTCTTATGTCAGTAGTTCAAGTGATATATATTACATTTCTGGTTCTTAGGTGTAGAGCCAGGAGGGGTCAAAATACTTTTCTGACTTTTCTAAGTCTACTCTTCCCATTGGCTTATAGGTTTCAAAAATTGGAAGGATGAAAATTGCGAATCAAAGTTCTCTTTTGTCTGCAAGTTCAAAATCTAGTGACTACTGAAAGTGGATGTCTAGAACTCTCCTGGGAATTCCCTCAATGACACCCCAAAAGGGACTGTGTGCCCTCTCTAAACTGAGCACTCCACCCTCGGATGAGTTCCGACATCTGCTCACAGGCCTCCAGCACCGGTCCAATCCCTGGAGCCCTAAAGAACGAGAATAAACACATTCTCACCCATTGTGTTGTCTTGTGTGTCCATAATTTACCTGGTGGTTGGGGTGGGAGTGGGGTGGGGCCACTCTGGAAGCTGCTTTGACCCTACCACTTTTTAAGACTCCATCTACTTATTGTACATGGTGAATTCTAGAGTTATTGACATGAAATTGAATCATGACTGACAAAATAAATAAGTGAAGTGCTTGACCCCTACTCAAATATTCACAGGGACCCGTTGATAATTACAGAAACCATTAGATCATTGAATTCCCATACCCGGGATATGGAAGAGACATTATGTCCTCAGTCATGCACAGTGAAACCTCAACTGAATTATTGCTTTAAGGTGTTTTGATCAGTGTACAATACTGAATGAATGGTGACATAATTAGAGAGTTATAGGCTGGCCAAATTCACTTTATGGCATTCCTTGAATTGAATGTATAAAACATAAAAATTAGAATTAGTAAAATGTAAGATGTACAGGCATAAATTACAACTATTACAAAGTTTTAGTTACCCAAGTGGAATGAATACCCATATATTAAATGTATGTATTGTTTTCTCTTCCTGTATTTTCTATGCACATCAGGATCAATCCTCTAGTCTTTGCAGCAGTTTGATTCAGGATTTACAGTGATGATGTAGGTTGTGATAGAGAAAGTCATTAAAGTACTCAATCTGAAAATCAAAAACCCTGCTCACTTTAATCCAAAGCAAGACCCCTACTATAAATTAAAGTAGTTTAATCCATTCTATTTTGGAAACATTTTTCATACCTATTTAAAGATAAGACTCCAGCAATTCCCAAGGATCAGAGTTACAAATACTCTGATGTGATGTTGATAAGAATACACACAAGGGCTTTGTGTTCCCCAAAGACGTCTCTACTCTACAGTGTAATTACTATTTTCTAAGAATCGTCTTACCAGTCTCTAACTTTTGTTTTATATCTTTTTATCCATATATGTTTATTCTAAACATGATAGGCAGCATGTCAAATGTTGTGGTTTAGAACTCAGAATCTAAACTCAGTGCACCTGTTTTCAAAATTTGGCTTTGCTACTTTTTTAAAGGGATATCTTCTTAAAATATTGTTTAAAATTTTGTTTTTGAGAATATACACATGAAAATCCGACAATAATTTAATCCTTTCTACATGTACAATTCAGTGATTTAATTAAATTCCCTGAATTTTGCAACCATTCTCACTCCTTTTCTGATTTGTGGGCAGGCAGGTATTAGCATTTTGAGTCCTGAGCCTGAGGAGAAGTGCTCATACACTGCTAATATGACAATCACCCCTGATGCATGCCCTCTTGATTTGGCATATGCTTTGCAATGGTCAGTCCTCTGAATGCTCTTGGGAAACTGCCACTCCAAACCCAAACAGGTCCAACCCAATGTTGTGAGACAGTGCACTGCAGACCCTGTGTTCCCAATCTGGTTGGTGTGTGTGGTAGTTACATAATCTGTTGTCAATTTGAGACTTGAGAATGAAGGGGTGGAGTTTAGCCCGTCAATCAGGTTTGCAGTTTGATAATATCACTTGGAGGGACTAAGGGATAAATAGCTTGCTATAGGCAGGACACACACTCACTCCCTGTGAGACATTCCTGTGGAGAAGACATATGGAGCTACTCTAGAGTCCTGGAGCTGAAGGAGCCACATGGCTCCACCCTGCCAGTGCTGAGTTTCTTCCAGTGCCACTGGACCCACTAGACTCTCCACCCACTGGCCTGTGCTCTTCTTGCATTTGGCGCCATTGCATGTGTTGCATGAATCTGAAGAGGAATTTATAGATTGGATCGGTTATATGGGCTAATATCAGACTTATGGACTTGATCTGGATTGGGCTGGGATATTTTCTCAATATTCCATTGTTCTTGTATATAAAGCTCTTTCTTATACACACATGAGTCTCCTTGGATTTGTTTCTCTAGTCTAACCAGACTAGCACAGCATGTCAGGACCATCCGAGTCCCTGGGTTTAGAGGCCCAAGTATCCTCCAGGCTCAGTTCCCACTCATTCTCTCCGCAGTTATGCTGGCAGAGCAGAGTTTATCAGAGGTGAGAGGGCAATACACTCACCATTGTGCTTCAGACTGGCTATTTCCTGCCAGGGAAGAACAAAGTGGTCCCCCCACCCCCAATTCCCAGAGTTCTTTTTTTTCAGTTTCTCCCTCAGGCACCTAGAGCAATTGTTTGCTTTCTTAGGGGGGAAGTGGCAGGGAGCATTGTCTAGAAATCAGGCTGCTATGTTTCTGCAACATCAGAAGTTTTCCTTGATAAAGGGATTAAGAGCAACTCTGATATTCAGCCATGCTGTTTCAGTCTCTCATATTTTTGTTTTATATTATATTTTTAGCAAATTATTTTATTTTTAACTTAATTTATAGACATTAGTTTAGAGATTTACAGAATTACTGAAAATACAAAGACTCCTCATATACCTACTATCGACATTCTCCTACTACTAAAATCTTATATTAAGATGATACATGTTACAATTATTTAACACTATTGATATACTTTTTTAACTAACATCCATGTTTTAGTTCTGTTTTCTTAGAAAATGGTTTCATCCATGTTTTAGTTCTGTTTTCTTAGAAAATGGTTTCATTTAATGCCATTTTTCTATCGAGGACTTTAGCCTGCTATCTCACAATAATGAATTGTCCTGTCTCCCTCTGCTCTTCTGGGATATGTTTGTTTCTTGGCATTCCCTTGTTTTTGATTCCTTTGACAATTTTGATAATTTGTTAGGCATTTTGTAGAATAAAAATTTTTTGGATTTTAATGATTTTTTCCCCCATGATTAGAATGGAATCAGCATTATGTCTCCAAGTGTGTCAGGCTGGCCTGACTACAGATACAACTCCAGAGACACTCATACATGTGTAAGAAAGAGCTTTATATCAAAAGGAAATTATACATCAAGCAAACATCCCAGCTCAGTCCAGAATAAGTCATTAAGTTTGATACTTGTCCTTAGAGCCCTCTTCACGCTCGCATAGCCACATGCAATGATGCAGAAAGCAGGGAGATCCCAGGCCAGGGGGTGAAAAGTCGTGTGAGTCCAAGGGTGGTGGAAGCATCACCGGGCTCTGGCAGGTCTCGGGCATAGGGTCTTGCCAGCAGGAGTGTGAAAGCTGAGAGAGAAAGAATGGCTCACCTCCAGATAGTCCTTTATCTTGGTGGCACCTCCAAATGAGGCCAAGTTTTGACCTGATTGGCAGGCTAAACTCCACCCATATCTTCTTCCAGGTGTCATGTTGGCACAAAAAAAACCCTAACTCTCATACCAGGTGTTCCTTTGGAACAAATATTTCCAGACCCAAAGAGTATAGGGTCACAGGAGCATCAGTGAGAAGTAAAAATATTGTGTGGGTTCACTGCGAGCAATGATGAGTGGTGCCACTACCATTTCTACCTCATGAATCCTGACTATTGCGAAACAGCATAGTATACTGACCACTGGTCTTGATTACTGTATATACTTGAGTACAAGCCAACCAGAATATCAGCCGAGGCACTCACTTAATTTTACCACAGAAACTACATTAAAAAATGTGCTGAAAAACTTGGCTTATAAATGAGTATATACGGTATATGCAATCAGAGAACATTGCCCTACTCCTGCAAGGTATTGCCATTTAAGTGGCACTGCTATTGTGCCTTTAGGAGAGACTATTCAACTGTTACATAAAGCTACCTGCTCCGGGATTATGGAGAAGGTGGTAAGACAAGTGGATTTCATGAGCATGGGCCATTGCCACCCTTCATTTCCTGTGAAATGAGCACCTTGATCTGAGGGGATATGATGCAGGATACCAAGCCAGGCGAGAATGCATCTGATAAGTCCATGAACGGTAGTTCATGGGCCCTATGGTCACTCTGTTCATGGGGCCATTGGCAATGCTAGTAGTGGCTAGGGAAATAGGATGACTGTTGGTAGTGGCTAGGAAAAGAGGATGACGTATCCACAGGATATGTCAACCTACCCATTTGATTGGGAAAACCCTCCTCTGCCAAGGAAACCCTTTAGTGAGGTTTCATATGAGACACAAAGATCTTCACTTGGCAATCCATTCAGAGAGCTCTGTCCACATACTTCTTCCCCACATTTTTGTCACCAGTTTTCCAATCAGACTCTTTCTAAGGCCCTCATCCTACAGCCAAACCACTGACCGCACCTATGAATTAGTATACAGTTAAACATCTGATCATTTTCTGTCCAAGACGGATGAACAAAAAGATGCACAGCTCAAAGTTTTGCTCATTGGGAGAGTTTCCCTTCACCCCTGTTATGCAGCAAAGTCACAGGAAGGGGCTGAGACTTTCAGCACCCTTGGATGAGCAGGATCATATGGCCTAAGAGCAGAGCAATGGACAAAGCAGCCAGAATCGGTTGTAGAGCCTTCTCTATTCCGGGCCCCACACAACACTCGAAGCTTTAAGAGTCAGTGTACGAATAGGCCAGAATATGAGACGTGTGTTGCCTTCAAATATAAAGAGGCCCATCAGGTACTATGCCTTCATTTTAGTGTGGGAGGGCTCAGATGCAATAATGTGTTCTTCATGTTAGTAGAAATATATTCACCTGCCCTCAAACCAGTGGATGTCAAGACATTTTACTGCAATGGCAGGTGCATGCATTTTTATCAAGTTAATTTCCCAGTCTCCAGCAGGCAGATGTTTTACCAATACGTATGGGGAATGCTCTCCCCCAGTGTTTCCCAAGGAGATGGCACTGTTCCCTGGAGGGGAAGGGGCTGGACCAGTCCAGGGGGATTGCAAAAGCAAATTCCAATACTTTCTCCTGCATTATGGACTATGGTTTAAAAGTTTTTAATTGATGGGGACACATTGAGTCATATGTTTTCCTGAAAAGGGAGTGGTAGGCCAAATACATTTGGAAACCTATGTGACAGATCTTCCTAGTTTTATTTCTTCTTTGTTTCCATACATCTGCATTCTTGAAGGCTGTGTATTTATTTCATTAGCATTCTCAACATAATAATCAGAGTGCTTTTAAATTTCTTGTCTGATCATTTCAATATCTATGCCACAACTGAATGTGGCTCCAATGCTTTGTCTTAAGAGTGTTCTTTTCTTTGATATTTAGCATGCCATAATTTTTCTTGATGCTTAGCATGTTATCGGGTTTGTTGACAGTCACACATTGTATGTTGGTAGGGTCACTAGTGTGAGATATCAAGGTGTTTGCACTATGACTTACGTTCTCTGATGAACAGAAAAAAGACACAGAATGTTATTATGCTCTGTCTTTTCTACTTTTGTAGCTGACGACATCTTAAGAAAGAGAGTAGAAATTTCCAAGTGCTTTTCATATAAAATCTGATATTGGAATTCCAAGTAATTATCTTTTACTCTTTTTAAATAGTTGTCCAATCATGATTAGAAATTGTGGTGCAGTGAATTACTTGATATGGCTAGTCTGAATATACTAAATTATTTGTAGATCCTACCAAATGACCGAGTATGTGGACAGAAAACAATGCAACAAATCAAATGTGTTGACACGGATCCTGACATGGGTTTGACAGATATAGAAAACATAAGAGATATTTATAGGTGAATAGGTAGAGGCAATTGGGAAAAAACTTACCCCAGGCAGAGATTTTTAGATTGGTATTAAGAAATGGAATGGGTATTATGCATATGTCTGGAGTTGATGCAAAGATTCTAATGTATTTTTATAGGAGGATGGATTAATGGAAAATTCTGTTATTCCCTATGTTAGTCTGGGTGCACTAGAGAAAAAAATACATAGAAACTCATATGTGTATGAGAGAGTTTTATAGAAAGGGTAACTGTACATTAAGAAAGCATCCCTCCCTGTCCTGTCCAAGCCCATAAGTCCGATACTAGCCCATATGTCTGACACCAATCTATAAAGTCCTCTTCAGACTCACAAAACACATGCAACGACAGGAAGGTCATAGGCCAGTGGGTGGGAAGTGCTGTGAATCCAGTGGGGTAGTAAGGTTCTCAGAGGTCACAGGGCTCTCCACGTGGCTTCTCCGGTTTCCAGGGCTGCATCAGGGTAGGTCCATGTGGCTTCTCCTCAGGGATGTCTCACAGGAAGTGAGCAAAGAGAGAGAAATCTTCTTCCAAGGCAGAACAACCAGATTTCCAGGAGAAGGCCATGCCCACACAGAGGCAGAGGCCTCATTGGCTATGATCCAATTGACAGACTAGACTCCACCCCTTCACTTTTAATCCTCTCCAATCCCAAATTGACACCAGATTATGTAACTGCCATACTCCCCGAACACTAAAGAGGTTGAAACAAGTCCACTCCATTCTCCCAAGCTGGTAAAAACTTAATGATTGGAATTCCTATCTTAGATGATTTGAAGCAGAAGCTTAGCTAATTGATCAAGAGAAGAAATCTACTTGAGGTCTAATTCACCTACTGGAGTTTCCACATCGGATTCCTCTGGTATGGCCTTTGGAGCATATTATGCACCTTGAAAATCCCGGATTCAGTGACCCAGTGTTCTATGGCACTTGGCCTGGGCCCCCAGGGGGTATGCAGAAACTCAGGCCAATGTGGCTTGTTGGATACATATTACTGGGCACCCCCCTATAGGTTCCTTAAAAGAATTGTGGTCCTTTTTGTTCCTGCTTAGAAGTTGGTCCTCCCCCTTTTTCTGCCAACAGACATGTGCTTGTCTTCCCTCAGACTGTCTGCTCGCTTTCCCCACGCCTGACTTTACACGCCACCAGTATGAGCTCTGGTGATTTCCCTCTCAGCATCATTGACAGATGGGGATAAACTGGTTACCAAACAGAGAATATATTGGAGAGATGACTGCAGTAGATCAAAATTATGAACCTCACTTGAACGGTTAAAATCTTGCCTCTTATGCACCTTGGCTTGATCTGGTTTTCAATATTTTCTGTGTGTATGTGTGTGTTCATATTAATGTTTGTCTCTGATGTAGTTTGTCATTGTGCATGGCCTTATTTAATCATTCTTATGTGTTTTTCTGGGTTTTGATATATAAAACCCAGGATTAATGAACCTATAGAGACAACATTTATAAGAGTTCCTGGGGAGAACTGTGGGGGATGTTGGGAGGGGGAACTGATACCAAGGAGTTCAAGAAGGAAAAAAATGTTTTGAAACTGATTGTGGTATCAATTGTACAATGCTGCTTGATATGATTTGAACTATGGAATCATATATCTGTGATAGTTCCTAAAAAATGTTTTGAAAAAAGAGAGAAAGAAAATTTCTTTTAAAAAAGAAATCTAAAAAGGGGACTGTTCGGTTTATCATCCCACTGGGCTTTAAAATGACTAGCTCCAAAGCAGGATTGAAGGAATCTCACTAGAGTTTGAAGTAGAACATGTCCTTTGGCCCTGAGATCCATGCACACTGAATCTCCTTGGTTCAGGAAGCAGCTATGACCCCAGAGGAGCAGTGGAGGGTTGGCAACAGCAAAACCAAGAACCAGAACCCAAGACAGAGTGACGGACTATCTGGCCCAGAGATCGAGTCAAGCTGAGTGACTGCAGGCAGGAGCCTTGCTTGGGAAATGAATACCTGAACACACGAGAGTTGGTTTGCTGACCATCAGAGCTAGAGTTAGGTATCTCCAAACTGAGCTTATGGCCGGGTGATGTGCCCTTTTGACATCTGTTAGCCATGTTACCAGAGTGCCATGAGCATTACCAGCAGTGCTGCAATTGCTGAAGCAGGGTAGAGTCTAAGGGTCCATGTGATCGAGAGGCCTAGGACCAGAGAAGATCTGTCTGTGGGCATACTGCAGAAAGGCTGCTGACTGAAGACCTGTGGCCTGAATATTTCTGATGCTGAATGATAATCCATGAACTTATCTGTTAAACCCCATGGCTATGAGTATTTTCTGTGTTCTGTATGGCCATTGCCATGAATTATAATGACCAAACTCAGCAGAGAGGTAAGGAGTGCTGTGAGAAGGACAGTTGGGGTTATGATTGGTGAAGAAGGCTGGAGGGTGGAGGCCTGCCTGACCTCTGTCTCATACAAACCGGCCTTGCGGTGATAGGTTTGATTCTCCTTTTCTCCTTTCCTTGGCCCCTTGTAGTGTCAGAGATCAGATGCTACCTTCTCACCCTTCTTAGAGAAATTATAGAAAGAAAACACATGAGGCTCATTTTTTTCACCCTTGTTAGTTTGAGAAGAATTTCTCCGAAGACTACCAGAGTCCCCTAAGGCCAGTTGTGTTGTGTCAGCCTATCTGACATCAGTGAGGGGGATGCACAGCTTGTGTAGGAGAAGCACTCGGGCCTATCACCGAATCCTCCCAGTGCAGGGCCCACATTCTCCTCACCAACACACTGGTGAACATTTCCACACCCCGTCTCATAGAAGCTAGACCTATATAAGATTTAGCATGTTTTCTCTGCACCCAATGTATATTCTTCGGAGTCTAGTTAAGGGAACGAAACACACAGGCAAACAACTGCTGAATAACAGTTTTAGTATTTCTCTCCAAGGAAGCAAAAAACCCCTAACATGAGGGTGAGGGAGAGGGATGAGACTAGAGGGTCATAATGAAGAGATCAAGCGGAGTGGGAGGAGGAAAACACTTCCTTCCTGGTTAGGTCTTCATGCAGATCTCAAGTGCATGAGGATCACTGTTCACTTTATTCCTGTCTTAATCTTTGAACATGCAGACGTAGGGTAATCTTTGATCACAGTTATAACCTTTCCATTTCCGGAATCCTGGAGAGACAGCGAGATTAAGGTGGTTGGAGTTAGGAGATTGTGCATCCAAAGGGGAGTGATCCAGATTCTAGCCTAGGATCCAAATCGACATCCTAACCAGTGTCCCACTTCCAGCGAAAGGAGCACACAAACATCAGAAAGGATGGGAGAAGAAACAAAACAGCATGATATCTGCTAGCTTAGGAAAAAAAAAAAAATGAACTCAGCCCCTAACAGAAGGAAATAGGGGATAAGGCCATACGAGTAGAAATGTATTCTTTCTTGCCTTTGCTATGTAAGGCACCACGGCTTCTGTAGCAACGGCTCTCGCTGTGTTTGAGCCACTCTAACCCCCTCCCCTAGCACCATCGCTGTCGGCTAGTCCCTTCACAGTGACCACGTGCGACCGATCAAAATGCCGACATGTCGGAGGAGATGCAACAGGACTCGGTGGAGTGTGCGACTCAGGCGCTGGAGAAGTACATCGAGAAGGACATTGCAGGCCACATCAAGAAGGAGTTTGACAAGAAGTACAATCCCACTTGGCACTGCATTGTGGGCAGAAACTTTGTAGTTATGTTGCACATGAAACTAAGCACTTCATCTACTTCTACCTGGGCCAAGTTGCCATCCTTCTGTTCAAATCTGGTTAAAGCATGGATTGTGCCCACTCACCCAGGGAGCCATCCAAAACCAAGGACTACCGCCTCCATTCCAAACACCAGAGACTGGACTCTTCAGCCTTGCTAAGGGAACACCTCCATCTTTGAACTTTTGTTGTGTTGTTTGGTACAGGCCATCCTCTGTACCCCTTTGTGGTTATAAAACAATTAGCAAAACGGCTTACATTTGTATTTATTTTATATTCCATGCTTTGCCCTGCCTCATGTTTTTTTTTCTTTCCTCACAATTCATTCCAAAAAAAATAATAAATCTGTTGGAGATGTGTGTGTAAAAAAAATAGTACCTGTAAATAGTACCTGTAATGTTTATTACCTGTCCTTCGTGACAGTATCCCACAGTGGTGATGTCTTGAGAAGGTGGAGGGATCTCTCTCCCATGCAAAATAATTTAATATGTCTCTGTTACTCCACTCCCATCCACCGGCATTGGCTTCCAAGCCCTACAGAGTACAGAGTGGAGGAAGGTGAGAGCATGGCCAATACAACTCTCTGCATGACTACCTTTGCCGGAATTTCTGATCCCTAACTCAGCATCACGGAATTGGTTTGCTATTTCAGATGCTCCAGCAGAGCTGCCTCTGCTACATGGTACTCTTTTAACTGGTCCTTTGGGTAAACTGCAAAGCCACGACTAGCAGAATTGCCCATAGTAGCATATCACTAGTTAAATGACAGTCGGTGGTGCATCATTGGGGATTGCCTTCAACTCCCTAAAAACAAAGTGCATTCTTCCAGACCCTAAAATGAATCTTCATTTAGTATCCCCTCAGCATAGTTTCCACTGATCTGTGAAGCTCAGAGTTCTGAATTATGAGACTACATGTATTATGTCAAAAACCTGAAATGAATGGTTGGCTTCAGGTGTAGACCAGAACCTTCACAGAAGTCAGCTTTCCAGCTGGTCCCAATGCTTTCCCTTACTGACTAATATTACTCAGCATATCTGAGCACCAGGTCACGATGTCCTGGGAAGGCACAGGGCACAACACTGAGAGAGTGTAACAACAGCTATTTTAGATTGGAGCGAATGCAGCTCACCTGTGTAGGGTCATGAAGCCCAATCCAAACATTTGCAAAGTTGCTTGAATCACTATTCACCAAGGAAGCCACAAAGGATCCCTCCATCTGATGGAGCACAGATACTAGACTTCCTAAAGACTGCCTCTGACAGTCCATCTGAGAGGAAAGGGAAGAGACCAAGGGAAAATTGATGTTCCATGGGGAGAAGCAGAGATGAGATAGATGAAAAGGATGTATGAGCAATGTCATGGAAATTCCCACCCCTTTGGCATTATTCTCTCCTATGTTCTCCCGTATACTTTTTCCAATGGCCTCCATGCCCACCCCCACCACTGCATACCTCTGCATCGATCCAGGTTTTCGGTGTCAAAAACAAGGCATAGCAGTAGGAACCATAGGCACTGGAACCTCTGGGACACTTGATGTGTGCAGACTCATGCTTTATCTGTGGGTCTGCACCTGGAGTGGAGGAAATTTAAGGTAGAAGACCAGCATGAGATGAAGTGTGATGAATGGGGACGAAAAAGTGGGGAGATATCACTGAAGAAACATCCTGATGTCAGTGCATGAGGAATGATGTCACCCTCCTGACCACATCTGACCTGGGCCTTTCTTTATTTTTTCCTGGGACTTCTTGATCTTGAGGCTGCTTCTCAAAATG